AAGCTCTGGTCCAGCAGCCCCCAGATCGAGTGGTGTTCAGGTGTTCAGACCAGTTGTCTCCCTCAACCCCGCAACCCTGCTGCCTGGCACACGGATGGGAGCAGCTTCCTCCAAGAAGGAGAACGGAGGGCCGGAGCAGCCGTCACCACCGAATCGGAGATAGTTTGGACCTCACCACTGCCACCTGGAACATCGGCCCAAAAGGCAGAGCTGATCGCGCTGACCCAGGCCCTCCGGATGGCGGAAGCCCGGAGGACCAGAAACGAACAAAGAAAATGGGGGCGGAATGGAGCCCCGAGCGACAAGCTTACATCATAGATGGACAGAGGCCTTGCCTACCAAAAAAAAAAAGACCGCTAACATGGTAACCAAGAAACTCCTGGATGACATCTTTCCCAGGTATGAAATACCCCAGATATTGGGGTCAGACAATGGGCCTGCCTTCGTCTCCCAGGTAAGTCAGAGGATGGCCAGGCTACTGGGGATCGATTGGAAACTTCATTGTGCATACCGCCCCCAGAGCTCAGGACAGGTAAAACGTACAAATAAAACCATTAAGGAGACTTTAACCAAATTAACGCTTACAACTGGCACAAGAGATTGGGTGCTCCTACTCCCCCTAGCCCTTTACCGAGCCCGGAACACTCCTGGGCCTCATGGCCTAACCCCGTTCGAGATCATGTATGGGGCTCCCCCACCAATTGTAAATTTCCTTCACTCTGATATCTCCTCTTTTGCCACTAGCCCTACCCTAGAGGCGCACCTCCAAGCCCTCCAATTGATACAAAAGACGATATAAAAACCCCTGCCTGCCGGGAGCAACTGAACCGCCCGGTGGTGCCTCACCCATTCAAGATTGGAGACTCTGTCTGGGTCCGACGCCATCAATCTAGAAACCTAGAGCCGAGGTTGACGGGACAGCGGCTTGGGTCCACGCGTCACATGTGAAGGCTGCCAAGGAACCTGACGAAGCTGAGGGCACCGAGACATCTAGTTCAACGCTCTCCAAACCCACTAAAGATAAGACTCACCCGGGGGTCCCCTTGATCCCCCTAATAGTCCTCCTGACATTAGGAGAAACATCACCAGAGAGCCTGTTTCCCTGACGCTGGCCCTGTTACTGGGAGAAATTACCATGGGCGGAATAGCTGCTGGGGTAGATACAGGACTGCAGCCCTTATAGAGACCGGCCAATTCAGACAGCTCCAAGTAGCCATGCTCAACAAAAATGATTTAAAAGATGGTTCCAAAGGTCACCATAGTTTACGACCCTTGTCTCCACCATTATGGGCCCCCTAATCGTCCTCCTGCTCATTTTATTGTTTGGGTCATACATCCTCAACAGATTGGTGCAATTCATCAAGGATAAGGTTTCTGTTGCCCAGGCTTTGATCCTAACCAAACAATATCAGAGGCTCAGACAGTCAGAGATAGAGCTAACCC